GGAGTAAGATGATATCTCACAGTTGTTTTGAGTTGGATTTCCTTGATGGCTACAGATGTTGAGCACTTTCTTAAGTGTCTTTCAGCAATTTTGGATTCCTCTATTGAGAATTCTCGTTTAGTTCTGTACCCCATTTTTAATTGGCTTATCTGGTAGTTTGATGTCTAGTTTCTTGAGTTATTTGGATATTTTGGAAATCAGCCCTCTATCAGATGTGGAGTTGGTGAAGATCTTTTCCCTTTCTGTGGAATGCTGTTTTGTCTTGCTGTCTGTGTCCTTTGAATTACAGAAGTTTCTCAGTTTCAGGAGGTTCCATTTTATTATAGGGAAAGCCTCCTGGCACTAGCAAAGTGAGGAATGGGAAAACAGTTGTCAGGGAAGATTAAGTAGTATGAATTTTACATGTTAGGCTAAAAAGAAACTGGAAAGTAATTTTGATTGAACTCTTCACTTGAAGAAAATATACACTAGTAACAGAGAGCCTGCTGAGGACAAAGACCCTAAGACTTATGTGTTAGCATTTTGGGAAAAAATACCTGGTTTTGGAAATTTTACCTGAGAAATACCCTGTCCCATGGAATGTTTCTAGTTTTGTGGTCAGATGGGGATACCTGAGAAAGCTTTGCCAAGTGGTGACCACTATACCTGACAAACTTACTTTGAGTCAGTCTCCCTTTTGCTTTGTTAATTTCCCCTAGAATCACATGAGAAGACAGCCTCAACTGAGGAATTATCTAGCTGAGGTTGGCATGCCTGCATGTCTGTGACTGACTCTTTCACTGTTAGTTGAGGCCAAAATACACCACGAGTGTAGGCAGCACCATTTCGTGGATGGCACCATGAAATGTACAACATTGATGAGAGTAAGTAGTAAGCCAGCACGCAGCATGAGTTCACTTACTACTTTCTGTTTCAGACTTAACTGTGATGTGCCAATCTGCTTGAGTTTTTCCCTTAACTTCCCCCTCAATGATGAACAATAACATGCAAGTATAACCAAACAAGCACATTTCTCTCTAGATTTATTTTGTTCAGGGCTTTTAATCTCTTAAGAGAGACCACCTGTGCCTGGACCCCAGACCTAAAACCACTTTGTCACATTGTACCTGTGACCATTCTTGAATAAGCATGGTGAGTGCTACAGGTGCAGGTAGGATGGATATCTCCCTACACAGTCTCACTGAAATCAGGAATGAGTCGAGGCTGCCCAATCACTCCATATCTATTCTACATGGAACTTGAAGTTCTAGCTAGAGCAATAAGACAACAAAAGGAGATCAAGGGGATACAAATTGGAAAAGAAGAAGTCAAACTCTCACTATTTGCTGATGATATGATAGTTTACATAAGTGATCCCCCAAAAAAACCCTACCAGGGAACTCCTACAACTAATAAACATCTTCACTAATGTAGCAGGATACAAGATCAACTCAAAAAAATCAGTAGTCCTCCTATATACAGATGACAAACAGGCTGATAATTCAGAGAGAAAAAGAAAGAAAGAAATCAGAGAAACATCACCCTTTAAAATAGCTACAAATAACATAAAATATCTTGAGGTAAATCTAACCAAACAAGTGAAAGACCTGTATGACAAGAACTTTGAATCTTGAAAGAAAGAAATTAAAGAAGATATCAGAAAATGGAATGATCTCCCATGCTCTTGGATAGG